GTAAAACGATACTTTTAAATTCAATTGTGCTCCAGTTCTGCAATGTTCGGCGCGTAAGAACTTGTTTACATGTTTCTTGGGTCCATCTGATGATGTTGTGTTAGCCCAAGAACAAAATTAACTGCTCATTTTTCTTACAGCGAGGACCCTCATCAGTTTAGTTTTTTTAAAGTAATTAATCTATGGAATAGGTCACGGTTACTCTGTCACGTTGCTATATTTAGGTCTCAGTCACGTTTTAATCCCAATTATCGGATTATGACAGTACAGAGTGATGCCATAAAACTTTCCAGATATACGATTCTTAAAACATTGTAAACTGGTCTTAAATGATGTCAGTTGTTCTCAAAATCAAAAGATTCATTGATCTACTACTTTTAACTATTATATTGAAAAGTATTTGTACACTGGTGTTTCGTTTTGGTACTGTTTCGGTGTTTCGGTGTTTCGGGGTTTAGCAACACCTAATAATTTGACGTCAGCTTTATCTGTCTGTCCTCTTATTGATGATAAAAATTAACCAATCAGCGCGCGAGAAATTTGTAAGTTAAGTATAATGTTAATTATAACTTAATCCATTTTAACTTCAAAAGGTATCGCAGTAAGAAAAGCTAATTAAAAAAAGTGTTAATGAAGTGTCCTTTGTTTGCAGTTAAATACGCCGTGTTGACCAAAATTAAGAACCAGATGACTTTGCTCTTTGACATAAGAGGTGCAGCGAGACTAATAGTTCAGACTTCGCGGGTCTACGTAATACGTTTGACCTCTAAGGTGGACATTTAATAGTCTTCTACTTGGTAGTGAGTTGAGGTGAGTTGTGCAAGATGTCACAACCAGCGCTGAGTTCAATTGGAAACTTCAACTGGCGTGAAAATCGAAAGCTATCAACATCTGTGAGTAATATCCAAAAGCAGCATGACAGAAAAATAAGAAGCTTGTCAATCGAACAGTCCAAGTTTATCTCACGAGCTACTTCGAGGATGAGGGAGTTAGTCAAGACATCACTGAAGGAGAAGGAAAAGATCAAGCATTTCGAGAGAAGCCGATCTGCAAAACATGATCATGATGTTAGCAGCTCTATAAAACATCTGAACGAAAGGAACATTTCTAGTTCCTCTAATAAACTCTTACAAGACAGCGTGGCTAGACTTCACTCGAGACCACCTTTACCAAAGTTGATCCTTACCAAACAGTCCACAAAGAAAAAGTTTACGAATTCCAGTGCTTCAAAAATAGAAGACAAAGAAAATCCAAAAACAGTTTTGAAGGGTAGATCTCTGTTGAGTCCAAAAGGAAAATGTACTAAGGCAGATCTCCTCCGACCAACGAGGGAAGCGAAGCCCCAGAGCACCTCAAAGCTACAACCACATCGCTCACATAAGATAAGTATGTCATTCAGCATTCACCCTCAATCAGTCTCAAGACAGAGCCTCCTGGAACCATCTTCTAAATTCCTTTTGAAACAAAGAAGACAGAGCTGCCCAAACTTAGGATGGTACAGTGATCGGATTCTAGCCAGTGGAAGAGCTGAAAAAGAAGGAAAAGAGAATCTTGACAAACAGATGGAAGAAATGAAAAGATGCAGATACTTGCGTCTACCAGATTCGCTTAAAGAACTGAGTAATTAACTGCGGTAGAGCCCGAAAATCTGGTTTTAAAATGGGAGCAGTCTTTTGATTTTTTGTAAAATTCGAAAAATCTCCCGTAGTGTGAGTTTTTTTATACCAAGGGTATAAAACCGGGGTAACAGATGATCTTGTCCAAACATGTGTATATACTAGAGAGTTCGTAAAGTAGATAGCATACAAGTTTTCAAGATAATCTAAATTTATAGTCGAAATAGCGTGTTTTCATGTGTTCCTTATGATAACAAATTACATACAAGTGTGGTCATTTTTCAATATATATTTTTTCACATATGAGTATATTGTAAATGAAAGTTCAGTTCATGCTGAATTGTGTACCTTAGAATTGATTGATGATATAGATTTATTATGCGTGAAAAAAAACCTTAGTGGTGCTTGTAGATGAAGGAAAGCATATTGGTGTAAATAAATTATTACTGATTATTGAAACTGGAAAAACTGCGTGTTTCTTCATTTCTTTTAATCAATTAGGCTACCTTTATTGTCTATTTGTTTGCAAGAGGTAACCACAATAGCAAGACAAAGATAGAAAAATGTACTTGTCGTTTACTCCGACGAAGGACTAGCGTCCGAAACGTCAGTAAGTTTTTTCATCTTCACGGTGTAAAATTTTCCCTTTTATCATTACTGTTTCATTAGAAACACCGACGCAGCTCACACTAGTTTTTAGCTAATGATCTCTTCTAAAGACAAAGAAGTAGATGGCTGATGGGGAGAGACCCTTTTAATCCTTCACCTCCCTCCTCTGACAGCCTGTTCACAGGCTACCAGATGTTTCGATAGTGTGCTACAGATTGCCACTGGCTTTTCTGAGGTTATGCGGAAAATTGGTAACGAGTAGGACGCGCGCTGGATGATGGGGCTGAGTTTATGGACGCCATTTTTTCAATATGGCGGAAAGCTCAGCAAACTTTAAAAACAGACCGAAAACCAGAGTAAATGCGAATTGGTTTAAAAACTAGAAGGTGTAGGAATGACGACTGAAACAGCCCTCACGGATGATTCATGATTCAGCGCGTCCTTCCTGATTACCAATTTTCCGCACAACCTCGGTCAAAATTGTCAAAAGTCCTATTATTAAAACTTATACATATTCAGTTTATATTATTACTGTGAGTAATACACTTCGCTTTTTACTGATGAAGAGCACAGTAGCGCATTCTTGTAAAGTTTAAGTTATATAAGCTTTATATAGGCATRTGATGCAATAGCTATTTCCATTACCTGATTTTCCAGAATATTCTGCCGCTGTAAAAGAACCTTCTGGCATCTTCTAGAATGATATCCCGGCCGGAATATGATGCAATAGTTATTTAAGCTTACATTACCTGATTTTCCAGAATATTCTGCCACTGCCGTAACAGAACCTTCTGGCATTATGTAAAATATCCGGGAAAATTTCGATGGAAGAAAAATTTACCATTTCTGAATTTTCAATCACGAATGGAAAGAATGAGCGAAAAATTTATCTTACATACTTATTGATACATTTACGGAATATATAAAAAAACACCTAAACTTCGCTTCAATTTTTGACTGAAGAGCAGACTAGCGTCTTCTTGCAATGTTAAAGTAATATTGAGGCATATGATGCAATAATTATTTACATTACCTGATTTTCCAGAATATTCTGCAATGTAGAAGCTTTAGAAAAACATTCTGGCATCTTCTAGAATGTTCCAGCAAAGCTTTTGTCGACGAAAAATAAAAAAGATCATTTTTAAACTTTCAGACAAAAATATTGAAAGAATAAACGCTAATTATAAGATTTAAAACAATTATTTCGGGCTATTAATTTTTACCCGGCCCGAGTTTTTTCTCACAACTTTTTGCTGAATAATTTGGGCTCCCTGTGTTACTCACGTGAATCACAGTCCCACGCATGCGTACTAAGTCTACATAAAATTTGTAACGAAAGAGGGAAGTCAGTTTGAGAAGCAAAAGGGTTTACCTACATTTGTTCAATAAAATCACACGTTTATCTCATTTTTAATCCAATATTAAAAGCAAAATGGTCAAGGAAACTAAATTATACGGTATGTATTATTCTAAACGTCGGTTGTTTGACGTTTTTATGGCTTGTTTTTGGCTTGTTTCGAGCAACAGCTATTGACATGTGCCGAGTAAACTTAACATGGCTTTCCTTCTTGTTTTAGATATTCTTCAAGTTAGTCCCGATGCTACAGCTGCTGAAATTAAAAAGTCCTATAGAAAATTGGCATTAAAATATCATCCAGATAAGAACCCAAGCGAAGGAGAAAAGGTTAGTCGTCTACTGTTAACGAGATCAAAAATTTTGTAAAAGAAAAAAATGCCGGTAGCGACATTTTGTCATATTCAAACTACGAAGATTGCATAATTTTTCTGTCTTTTCGTAATTTAGAAATTGTGGAATCACAGCTTGTCGTACAGGTGTTTAGAATTAGTTAAAAGTATTTATGCCTTTTAAGATAAAAGTTGATGTAGTATAGGACGATATTTGTGTTTAGATGTACACGCGGTAAAAAATTAAATCACCCAAGCATGTTTCGCCAATTTTACCATTTTATCTCTTCGAGTTACTTATTTTCAAGATTTTTATGCTTAAATCGGGACGTCCATACCTAGTAGCGTTTGGTCTGATAATTAGTAGGGTAGGGTGTATTCTATTTCTGTTTTATGGTGAGCAGACATCTTTTTCCTTGCTGCATTTCTTGGTTGTTATAAAGAATGCCGACAAAGCTGATGACTTTTACAAAATTTTTGTCTACTTATAAGTTCACACACACTGAATAAAGCACAGGCAGTCCAACCAGAAACACACACACCAGACGAAGGATTTTTCCAACTTGTTCCCACCAATACTCCATTTTATAGTTCAGTTCAGTGACCACAAATATGTTGAGCCTGGCTCAGCCCTGGCTCAGACTGGATCATATGTGAGTTGAGTTTGTTTGTTGTGTTGTTCTCTCCCTTGCCACTAGGGTTTTCTCTGGGATCTCTGGTTTCCTCCCTCCGTAAAAAGAAACATGTGAGTTGAGTGTTGTATGTTGTAAATATAGAATGTAGTGGTAGTACGTGTGGAGGGAACTTCACGGAAGAGCCCCGCATGGGGAGTGGTATGGAATGTTGAGTTTGGAGTTTCCAAAACTATAGTATCATGCGCGGCAACTCCAGTCTCGTCTTGAAACTGTTATGCAAGGTCACTGAACAGAACTGTAAAATGGAGTATTTTAGCAAACCAATTATGAGTAGCAGAATAATGCACCAGTCAAACTAAACCCTGACCCCCCACCCCGGGATATGTCGGGATTTGATTGGAATTTGTTACCTTTTTAGTAGCTTTTTGGGTCCCGACTATTTGGGGGATTCACACATTTTGTCATCCCTGCACAAGGAACATGGGGCATTAAGTGGGGATTAGTTTTGTCAATATTCTAAGATGGCGGCCATTGTTCGGTCCAGCAGAGAATATTATGGGTCGCAGCATTTTACTTTCTTTTAGAAACAAGTAGCTATAAAAACATGTTGCAAAGCCAAATTTAGTTTCTCCAGGGGATGTTTTTTGCTATTTACTGCAATTTCTTCCCCATATGGTTGGGTATTTGTCAATTTTATCTGGCTATTCAATACTCCCAGGTAGGGGGGGGGGGGTTAAATTTGACTAGTGCATAATGCTCCTGATCTTTATAAATGTACTGAAATTTATTCCGTGCTATAGAAATACAGAGACATGGGGGGTGGGGGAACCATCTTGGTTTGTCAAAAGCACACATTACCAGGAGCTTACAACTCATATATGTTCCTTAGGAGTTATCGTTTTTTCCAGACCAACTAAAAATTTAGAACAGCTTTTTAATTTCTCAAGAAATAGAGAACAATAGCTGCCATGTTTGTGGAATGAACAAGAGAAACTAAAGAGGAATGCTTTGTCATTTGGCACCAATACGAATATAAAAATAGCCAGTCCATGAAAACGATAACTCTAGATACAATTTGGGTAATGGGCTGTAGTTCTTTGTATTATAAGTAAATCACTGTCATTAAATGGTTGAAAAAATTCTGCTTAATTTGTATAATTTCAGTTCAAACAAATCTCCATGGCCTATGAAGCACTCTCTGATGAGAAGAAAAGGAAGATTTATGACGAAGGAGGAGAGGAAGCACTCAAAGGAGGTGGAGAGGGAGGATTTCATTCACCTATGGATATCTTTGATATGTTCTTTGGTACTGGTAGATCACGGCGGCAGGGCGAACCACGTGGAAAAGATATGGTCCATCAGATGAAGGTAATAATGATAACATCTTAGCATTTGTTTACGATTCACAATTTTAATTGCCCTATTTTATTATGCTGTCATATGAAATAATGTGTAGGAAAGGGAGAAAACAGCAACAATACAAAGGGAACTGCAAAAATTGTCTTTTCTAAAGCTTACAAAAGCAATAATAGCCACCTAATAGTGTATACACCTATTCAAAAAACAATGTCAGCTGAACATCTGAAATCTCAGACATTCTGCTCTTTATCATAATGTATTCAAAGCCTGAACAACATAGTTTGCTTTTCAATTGGAATCAGAAGCATGATCTTTGAGATAGAAATGTGATTTTTCGTATTTTAGGCCAAACAAAAAAATAAGTGTTTCCTGTTGCATGAGAAAGATAATTGGGGTCGGTAGGTCGGATATTTTTTAAATGATACAACAGTGGAAATAAGCTTACTGGGAACCCTGTGGTGCATTTAGGAAATGAAAAAATTATCAGGGTCGGCAAAAATCAGCAAGAAAATTAGAGTCGGTCACCCAACAGGAAACACACTTTTTTTTGTATTTTAGACAGAAAAGATAAAAGCAAATAAATTCCATTTAGTCTCAGATTGCCAATTTTAGACATTGAACTACCATGTTTTTTGAAATAGGTGTGCAGGATAAGCATAGGTGTATGTTACAGGATAAACATTGGTTTATAAATGAATGGTGTTCAGCTATAAATCATGAAATCATTTTCTGTTCCATTAAAGGTTTCTCTGGAAGACCTCTACAATGGCACAACGAGGCAACTAGCTGTACAAAAGAATGTTATTTGTTCAAAGTGTGAAGGACTTGGAGGCAAAAAGGTACTTAACGTGGCTCCCTAGAGTTTTCGGTAGTTCCAATCAATAGGACATAGTAATACTATGGCTATTACCTTGGGTAATTGGAGAAGGATATATAGTCTTTTTTGTAATTTCTCATTTTGACTTTTAATGTATTGCACCCATTTTCATAATAATTAGCTCAGATTCAGCCCAAGAGTTTTTGGCTTTTCAGTTAAAAAATTACTCACTCAGACCATTGGAAATTCAATTGACGGGAGCCAAAGACCCAGACTTGTAATATATGTAGTTGTCTGGGTCATAGTTATAAAAAATGGGTATTAGCTCAAAAATTAGGGAATTATAATTAATTTCAGTTCATTTATGACGCATTTTTTTCCTGATCCTTTCATTCTTTATAAGTTTTAGACCTTATTTTACCATCTTTTCTGCCATTTTAAAGGGTGCTGTGGAAACATGTCAGACTTGTTATGGTAGTGGTATGTATGTAAGACTAAACCGTATTGCACCTGGAATGGTCCAACAAATACAGACAGTTTGCCGAGACTGTGGAGGCAAAGGAGAGAAAATCTCGGGTATGTAGTACTGCTAAGATGATCTCAAGACTGTTTTTGGTCATGTTTACTGTTCCTACCAGCCATAGTCATGCATAGAGCAGAGTTTCTATGACTGTAAAATGGTGTTACATAATTTTTTTAAATTAAAGAGTTGTGCATAATGTATCGGTGTGAGAAAAAAAGACACATAAGAAGCTAGTGCTAACAAAAATAAACTGTCATGGTGTGAAAGCAACCCATCAGTGAGAGAAAGAAAAGACAAGTAGCTAGCGCTACCAAAAATAAACTGTCATGGTGTAAAAGTGGCCACATTCTTTTAACCAATTATAAATCCTTTTTTCTGTCGTCTTTACTGTTTAATACCAAGGGCTTAAAATAATAGCCAGTACCGTAAGTTGCTGGTCATGATAAGAAGAACGAATTTTAGTTTCAGCTCACAGTCATACATGTAGTACCTTTTTTCTGGTTTAATGTTACTGGTCAAAATGACCAGCAAGGCATAAATTTGACCAGACAAGTTCCAATATTCTGGGTGGACATTGCCTGACGTCTGACCATTAATTTAAGCCCTGTTACCAAGTACAGCAATGTATAGTACAGATTTTGTTACACACTGTTGTGGTATTTGAAGCAGACACAGTGTGTGAGATCACTGCTTAGCCATTACTGTGAAGCCTTATGATTTTTGTGCAACATTTCTTTTTAGAAAAAGACCGTTGTAAAACATGTCTAGGCAAGAAGGTTGTACGGGAGAGAAAAATCCTGGAGGTTCATATCGATAAGGGCATGAGAGATGGAAAGAAAATAACTTTCCGTGGTGAAGGGGATCAAGAACCAAATGTAAAGCCTGGAGACATCATAATCATATTAGATGAAGTCGAGCATCCAATATTCAAGAGAGACCATTTGGACCTCTATTATATAATGGTTAGTATTGCTACTGGTTGACGGCTTGGTTCATTTATTGATTGATAACTTTCTTAAAAAGCTTTTGTTTTTAAATAAATTATAAATTTCTCCCGTGCTGATTGGTTATGTTTGATTAGCAATTTTTCAATATCAATATGAGAACGGATAAATAAGCTGACGTCAATGATGGCTCGCTCTTTCCTTTTATTTTTTGATCGCTAAAAACAAGAAGTTTTTATCTTTTTTTTATTGTAAAACAAAATGAATTGAAATCCAATTTTTGTCTGTCCACTTACTGAGGATAAATTCTGTCATCACATTGTGACAGGGCTCGTGCTACTCCTTAAACTCCTTGAATTTAATTCATGTTTTCAAGGGCACTTGAAAAGCTCTTGAATTTTATGATTTTAGCAAAACTCCTTGAAAACTCCTTGAATTTTTGCTTTGATCATTACTTGCATGGTCCTGAAATAGATCTAGTCAGAAAGATTGGAAAATCTGTAAGTCGTCCATGTGCAACCACCGTGTAAAACCTTGGCATATTTAGCTGAACATACTCCTTGCAAATTCGTTTTTGGGTCTTTGTATACTCCTTGAATAGTCCTTGAATTTTAAGTGGTTACCTCAGCACGAACCCTGTTATAAGAGTTTCCTATGCAGATCCACTCGGCTTCCCCTTGTGGATCAAAATTACTTTGAAAAGGTGATGATGCAATTTACTGCCAATAAGAGAACAGACACAATTATTGCTGATGTCAATTTGTTAGATATGTGTGTATGTATATATATATATGTATAGGTCCATAGCATGTATCCAGATTGAAATGTTTTGTATCTTGAAATTTAGGATATAGAACTGGTTGAGGCTCTTTGTGGCTTTACCCGGGTCATAACAACATTAGACAAAGAGAAGAGGACTTTGGTAATCAAATGTAATCCGGGAGAGGTGATACGACCAGGTCAGTTGTGTAAAAAGTGCAGGAATAATATGCAACATTCTAGTTCAAAATCTTGAATTCATTCATCCATCCATTCTTTCATTCATTCATTCACTCATTCATTCATTCATTTTAAAAGATTCTTGTTTCTTTTCAGGAGAACTTAAGTGTATAATGAATGAAGGCATGCCTCGTCAGCGTAACCCCTTCGAAAAAGGACGTCTGATCATTAAATTCAATGTATGTATGTCTGCAAATGCTATTCCAAAATAGCTTATCAAAGTAGTTTTCAAAGAAGGTCTAATTGGATCGTCTAATAGACCTAATCCACTGTTTTCCCATTTCACACCACATGTCATTCCCTTGAGTATCATTTCTTTGTTTAACGGTTGCATGAGAAGACACATGAATATGAATACCACTCAATCAAAGAATCTTATCCTCAAGAGAATAACACATGGTCTGAAATGAGTAAAATAATATTAGGAACAAGTGGATTTGGCCTCTTTACTACTGCTGTTTTCATTGCTATGTTTGGATTAAAACAAAATTTGTTAC